TTGTATATTTATTTTATTTTATTCCACTGTATATAGTATTTTATTTATTCTATCCTGTACAGTTGTGTACTGTATTTATTCTTATTGTATCCTAATTTTTGCCTCATAACTTTTGCACTGTCCACTCCTGCTGTGACAAAACAAATTTCCCACGTGTGGGACTAATAAAGGTTATCTTATCTTATTAACACTTTATACTGTAAAATGAACAATACGTGTTTGATTAATAGTCTATATTTGCCTTATCTGACTTAAAAGCTCCCTCTTATCTCATCACCACCACCATCACACTGGGATTCCCCTGGAAATGTCTCACAGAGTAAGCCTACTGAACCTCTTCAGTAGAGGCGCTTCGTGTTTCTAACAAGTTTTATGAAGCCTGTGTCGCCTCAGGTCTGACCTCGCTAGAAAAATTTGGACTTTCAGGCACAATATCCCATTGCCTGTTAGTATCACATTAGCAACTCTTTGCTACATTCAGAACGTACTCTACACCCAGCTGGTAAACACTAATATGCATTCATAATCAACTGACAGTTCATACTACATACTACAGTTGTAGGTGAAGACACTGGTTTCTCTTCAAGACATTCTGTTCAGCCTGTAGTAGTGTCAGATTTTATACACAGGTTGTTTTCATGTAACATCTAAACCTGGAAGGTAACAAGTATCGTACGACTTCCAGGACTCTGATTATAAATATCAAAAAGCATACCTGATTTAAATTTGATATCTCCCTTTCCAGGTTGGCTCCTTGTGCATCTCTTGACCACTTTCATTTTAGCTGCACTCGTGGGCTTCAAACTTGCGCAGCATGGAAACATGGGTTTCTTTTGCAAACTGACCCAGTTCAGTGTGGAGGAGCATCACTGGTAATGAGACTGAGATCTCTGGCTTGAATCCTGAAAACGAAAAAGTCTGCAGTGGCCAGAAGGAAGCAGAACAAGTCAGAAGCATGACTGGGAGCATAGAGGGAGAGATCATCAGTGTGAGATTCTACTACTGTATGATCCTGAAGCACCTACAGCAGAACGCTGTGAATTTTATGGTCCTCCAATAATAATAATGTAAGATAAATGTGAAATCATTAAAGCAGTAGATTAGTGAAAGCATTACATTCCTTCACACAAAGCAACAAAACACAGAAACACAGCATGTTTCCCGTGTCAACAGCAGGTACCTATTATCCATTATATAATCATACAGTATGATTGTCACCAGATTGGTTCATATTTTTTCTACAGACACAGGAAGACGCTCCTGGCTTTGAATGCAAAACCCAATCAAATCAAATTCCTCCCTTGAGATGCTCTGGCAGGCCTTTACTGCTTCTCTGTCTGCTTGTTTGAAGGTTTTGTTTGAAGGGAGAAATTCTCCAATCATCCCCTTTAGCTGTCTTCTGTGCTCTTTCGCACCTTTTGGAGTTGCTGAGTTAGCCTGTTCAGAATCAGAGTCAGAAATATTTTGTTAATCCCAGAGGAAACAGCATGGTCACAGTTGTTCCACAACAGTAAGAAGAGTAAGAAATATTATTTGCAATAGTGATAAGTTAAAGTATCAATATTATATATAATACATTATCCTATAGAATAGCTTTAATGTCTCTAATGTCTCTAAATCTCTGCCTAAATAAATAAATAAATTTGGGTAAATTCCCAGATGATTCCAGATGACCCCCCTTACCCCCCTGGAAATTACACCCCTGGCATTGATACTCCAATCAATACTCTAAAATCAAGTTCAATATATAGCCCACTGAATTTTGTAAATAATTAATTTTTGGGGTAAATTAAAAAATACAAACCAAACACACACTATGAAATTTGTGTGCTGTAACATCTAGTAAAAAAAATTCTCTCTTTTGATCTAACAAATTATTGTAGAAATAACTGTAGAATGAGTAATCACAGTGATTTAGTGGTCATTAAATTGTGTTCAGAATTTAAAAATACTGACTTATATTTATATTTATCCGGTCTACATAAGCTGCCTTTCTAAGTTAAAAGTATTGGTATTGTTATTGCCAATACTAGCCCTGTAGTTACTTGGTATTGGATCGATTCTAACATCTGCAGTATCGCACAGCACTACCGACTGTTCTCCCAGCTTTAATGAAACTTTGAAGTGTATCATAAACAGGAAAATGATATTTGCCTTCAGAATAAAAGTTGTGCCTAACTCCTGCACCTAACAAATTTCCAACAGATGCGACTTTTACTTTGAAGGACAACTTTAATGGTTTCTCGTTTGCGGGCACTCTTCACAGTTTCCCTCAGGGAGAAGCTAGTCCCTCTTTACTCCCAAAATATGAACTCAAAGTTCACCACCCAGTGTTTAATGGTACATTCATTATACCCGCGCAAACTCCCCTCCTCTGACCTCCGTTGCTACTCAGGAAAGTCACGTGCCGATGACGTGTACGTAAACAAACCAATCACAGTCGGTGAACTCCGGCAGCTGACAGTTACTTCCGCTAGTGTCACGGAGTTGTGTTGTCAAAATGGGACACGACAACCACCACCACCACTTATCTCTGTGTTTTTGCGATTTAATGAGGTATGTGTTGCTTTATTTGCAGTTCAGTGATAAAATGGTGTACAAAGAGCTGGTGCTAAACCCCCCAAACAAACAGGAAAAGTATTGTTGAGACACGCGACAAGCTAACTTTAGCTTAACTAGCAGCTAGCTGACTTATCATTAGCCTAATCAACAGTAATAACAGATTTACTGTCGCCTGTCCAGTTGTAACGATAGTAACAGATTAATAATTATTTTGAGTAGAGCTTGTTTTTAGTGTCACACATTGCCAGTCCTCTTTTTTCCGTCCCTCCGCAGGCTGCTGTGGTCGCTGCTGGTGCCATGCTTCTACCTGAGCCTGATCCTGACCCTCGTCCTCCTTCTGCTCCTTTTGGGGGTCCGCATGTGGCTGCAGGGGCGCCGCAAGGCCCGTCGGGCTCAGGATGATGGCCCGGCGGTGGCTTTCTTCCACCCCTACTGTAACGCGGGAGGAGGCGGGGAGCGGGTCCTCTGGTGCTCCCTGAGGGCCCTCATGCACCGGTAAAATATTTAAAAATAATTTTAAGGGAAAGTATGTTTCATGTTTGTTGTTGTTTGTAGGTTGGCGAGGAAGTCACTTGTCTTCCAGCTCTGTCCTTGATTTCACAGCTATGTTTGGTTGAAACTACCTCTACTTTTGTCTCCAAGACTTTTGTCTCCACAGACGATCTAGTGAGACCATTAGATCAGCTTCTTTGCTCTCTAGCAAATAGTATAGTACAAGTGACTGCTTTTAAAAACATAAGCTGACCCTCAGACCACAGAGATAAACCCTAAGTTTAAACACTAATGTAGAGTTTCTGCCTTTATCCCAGATATCCCGGCATCTCCTTTGTGGTTTATACGGGTGACCAGGGAGTGACGGGTGAGCAGATTCTGGAGGGAGCCCGGCAGCGATTCAACATCACGCTGCCTCGATCAGTCACCTTTGTCTTCCTGCGTCACCGTGTACTCGTGGAGGCCAGCTCTTACCCTCACTTCACCCTGCTGGGTCAGAGCGCAGGCTCAATGTTCCTGGGTAAGATCTGGGCTAAAATGGAGAGACTAAATAAATTCAAGTACTTATTTATATTACAGTAAGATTTTTTTTCTTTGATTTAATATATGGGAACAAGATGATGTATATTTCTAACATTTTCTTTGTAGTCTCCACCCTATTTTGCTAACGTTTCTGCAAACATGAAACACATGATGTGTATGTGATTCCTTCATATAGATGTGATCCAGTGCTGTGGATCATGTCTTTAATTTTACTGAATTTATTCTTTTCTGTGGGATCAACAGGTTTGTAAGTTGAAGTGACGCAGTGTGTGTGTGTTTTAGGGTGGGAGGCACTGACGGCCTTCGTTCCTGACCTGTATGTGGACTCGATGGGCTACGCCTTCACCTTGCCGATCTTCCGCTACCTGGGAGGCTGTAAAGTGGCAAGCTACGTTCACTATCCCACTGTCAGCACCGACATGCTGTCTGTGGTCAGAGAAAGGAACCCAGGGTAAAACTGCATTTAGACACAGCTCCATTTAATCCAGAGCTTCCCAAAGTATTAGCGCCCACACAAAGGCAAAGCAGGAGATGAAGCATAGCTGAATGTGTTTCCAAACCAACTTCATTCTAAGCCAAAGACTAGAAAATATGGTGAAGCATGTCTGCCCTTTGGTTTCACCTGCACAAGTGCCGAGGTAGGTCTCCCCTGCAGAATTGGTTTTCCCTTCGTCGGGAGCAGCGCTGGGCTCTTCAAATCACGGACAAACAGTATCCCACATTCTTGATTTTTAGTTCACAAACACTTGTTGTAATGACTAACTACTCCTGACATTTTGGAGATGTTAGCTCTGTATACAGTAAAGTTACAGTGGGATACAAATGATATCAGGCTGATCCTGCCACGATTTATTCCCCCGGTTAAAACAGTATCCCACAGCTGTTGATGTTTTTAAACCCATTTTGCACAGAGAGGCATTTTTTGAGAAATGTATTGATAGCAATGTTGAATATTATTACACAGGAACTAAAAACAACTACACGTAAAATAATCACACCATGACGCCTCTGCCTTTGTAAATGGAGGGACAGTAACTGCGTGTGTGTGTGTAAGCATGTAAAACCTGCAGATAGAGACAAAATGTTAATCTGACTATCTGCCATTCTGCAATTCATCTCATGTAAGCAATAACGTGGCGCACAGCGTGACGTGAAAAAAGGCACATACTTTTGACGTCGCGTGAGGAACTCTGTATTCCTCGTCCACACTAAACGCAAAAAAGGAGTTTTAAAAAATCGCAGTTTTCAGTGATTCGAAACGCTGTTTACGTGTGGACGGAACAGCTGCGTTTTCACAAATACCCGTGTAGGTGTGGACGTAGCATAAAAGACTTAGTAGTTTATTTCATTGCTACCTGTAATTTGAGTGGTACTCATGGACAGAAAGAGTAATTGAAAAAAAATCATCCAGCCTTTCTGTAAAATGAAAACAGAATTGCTACGTACACGATGTGTTCAGTGTGGAGTGTGTTACTAGGTTTGCCCTAAGCTATTCAGTTGTGCTGTATGAAAGCGTCCCAGGCATTTGAGGCTAATCCAATCCTGACCTGTAAATGTTCTGTTGTGTGATTACTCTTGCCCAAAAAAACCAAAAACCTTACCTTTCATCTTCGTCTTTATATTTCAGATTCAACAATGCTGATTTCATCTCAAGAAACCCAATCCTGAGTGCATTGAAGGTGGTGTACTACTGCTGCTTTGCTCTGCTGTACGGCCTGGCCGGCTCCTGCAGTGACGTCATTATGGTGAACTCCACCTGGACGCTGGGACACATCCTCGCTCTGTGGCGCTCTCCGAGCCGCACCAGCATCGTCTACCCTCCCTGTGACATCAGGGCCTTCCTAGATGTCCCGCTGGAGGACGAGGACGAGATGGAGGGCTGGGAGGAGCTTGGAAGAGAAGAAGAGGACGGCGGCAGAGGGGACAGGAAGCGCCACTCCATTGTGTCGGTGGGTCAGTTCAGGCCAGAGAAGGATCACCAGCTCCAGATCAGAGCATTTCGCAAACTGCTAGACAGGAAAGGGGACGGCCCAGGGGGGAGAGAGTCTCTACGGCTGGTGCTGATTGGCGGATGCAGGAACCAGGAGGATGAGGAGAGGGTGTTGATGCTGCGGGGACTCTGTCAGGAGCTGGGCATCGCCGACTATGTCGAATTCAAACTTAATATCCCCTTTGAGGAGCTGAAGAGAGAGCTGGTGGACGCCACCATTGGTCTGCACACAATGTGGAATGAACACTTCGGCATCGGTGAGGACAGCATGTGTTACTAAAACCGTAAAAAGTATTTCTTTTTCAATAGTACTTACTACACAGTTTTCCACAGAAATGACCCAATGAAAAACTTAACAGTACGACTTTTGTATCAGATCAGCCGGTCTGAACATTAATCCTCCATCTTTGTCTCCAGGTGTGGTGGAGTGTATGGCCGCAGGCACCATCATTCTTGCCCACAAGTCTGGAGGTCCAAAGCTGGACATCGTGGTGCCGTACGAAGGCAGGCAGACGGGCTTCCTGGCTGACAGTGAGGACAGCTATGCGGCTGCCATGGAAACCATCCTGTCGTTGTCACCAACCGCTCGACTGGAAATGCGCCGTAACGCCAGGGACTCTGTGGAACGATTTTCCGACCGGGAGTTTGAGTCTTGTTTCCTGGCTGCCATGGAGCCTCTGATGGGTACTCTAGAGCGATGAGTTAAAACAGATGAGGTGCCGAGTCCACCAGGGACCAGAACGTTGTTGGTCTTTTAAATAGTGCTACACACATATATAGGATTGAACAGTGAGGGTCATGTGTATGTTTAAAATCGCTTAAGCTTGAAGGTTTAAGTGTGATGGGGTGGATCATTTTCAGCATAATAATCTCACAAAGCAAATCAACATCATCAAGACACATTCGGGGTGGACACCCAGAGAAATAATTGGGATGAATAAACAAAACCAACAAAGAGTGTAGGACTGTGTGTGTGTCAAACTTGTGTGAAAGTCTTCAGTGACAGCAGAGCTGGAAGCACGATGATGGGAAAAAAAATCGGGTGAAAAATCACATTCTGTTCACCTCCAAACTGAGTCATGTGTTCATATGACTTTACATAAAAAATTACAAGACACCTTGAGGTTCAGGAAATATCCTCTTTAATCTCATAATTATAGCTATTATTTATGTTCTCTGTCATATTTGCTCCAGGAACAATTTAGGCAATCCGGAGATTACCTGGGTTTTGTTAGGATGTGCAACAATGGACACTCATAAAAGCTAAAAAAAAGACAACAATGAGGTGAGGTCATCGGAAGGTAAAGCTAGGTAACAATGAAAAAGAACATTAACAGAGTTCTCACATAAAGATGAGAGAGGTGTTAACATTCCCGGATGAACGTTTAATTCCCGTGATTTATTTTCATCCTCATATCTTTACAGTTTCAGATTGGATGTTATCCACATAACTGCTTCGCCCCATATGTGCTAACAACCTTTTGTGATTAGTAAACTAAAAATACAGATCGAATCTGGTAGATAAAACTCACAAGACACATGCAAATCCAACAGCTCTAAAGAGCTTTCACTGTTGGTGGAGCTAAGGCTTCTGTGTCCGTGCTAAGCTAAGCCACACTTGCTGCATCTCTGTGCTGGAGAGAAAACTGATCGTGAGAAAGACCACAGGAACACTCACGTTTCTCAAAATGTATTTCGTTAAATAATTTAATATTGCGGGGAGAGTGACATTCCAAGCTCCAACACTTTTAAGCGTGTAGAAGTGATTTATGTCCAGTTAATACTGATATAGTTTGATTTTATTTTTTGCAGTGGCGTGATGTTAGCAACATGCTTGTAAATGTACGTGAAGGGAAGGGTGGAAATGTTGTCTGATGAAGAATTTCTTGTAACGCTTTCTGTGTGCACAAGAAGCACTTAAACCCACAGGTTTGTGGTTTTAAACCATGGCCAAAGCACTCTTAATTTAAATGTTTTTTCAGCTGTTGTATTCCTGTTTGTGATGAGGTCCAGGCATGGAAATATTATTATACGTAAAAGGCTGACTAACCTTTATTTTTAAAGATGAATTAGAACTATTTAAGTCTGTCCATGTAAAAAGGCTGTTTGGAGTTTGTTTCACTTGCAAACTGCAATTAAGTTAAATAATGCTGCAATAAACGAAACACTTCAGATTTGTTGTGTGCTGCCAGCCTGTTGTAAAAAAAACACACATGAAATAAACGAGATATCGTGCGCAAAAGTAAAACATTACCATATGAGACCTGTACTATGAAGCCAGTTTAGCTGCTTAGCTGAGTCCTGCGGTCCATCACCATCAACCAATAACATGTCAGTGAAATAATGTCATATTATAGTATCATGGAGTGTCCGATAATTCCCATTTGTATTAATTTAGTAGTGTTTTTCCCCTCTTACAAGCCAAAGTGCCTTAAATTTCACAAAAACTCTTGTGCTTTTAATAGTGTATGTTTCCTCACACATTCACGTAACTGCACATTATTCAGGCTTAACATCTTATTCCACTGGGCTATTTACTGGAATAGGTTAAAGATAACTTAGAAAGTGTGGCTTGTGGTTACGCCAGATAAACAACCTAAATTAACAACAATCCTTCACAGAGTCATGTATTCACATCATGAAAACAATCACTTTTTATTATCAGATTCCAGTTACTCTTACATTTTTGTCCAACTCTCACAAAATCAAAATGTTAAAGTTTGCAGGCGGTTAAGGAGTCTGAGGCTGCTCGTTTGAAGCTGTGGTATGTTGTCTGTGGGACTCAGGCTCAGCAGGAAATACCTTGAACGATCCCGCCTCTTCACTTGAATTCTGGACCTCTGCTTGGATTTGTTGAGGATCTCCAGAGCTCACTGCACCTTCATCCATCTCCTCCTCCATCCTATCAGCTAGTGGTTCGTGTTCCTGCTCCTTTTCGTCTGAGCTCGTGTCCTCCATGACAAACAGGTTCCTCATGGAGTCTGCCACTGCTTCTCTCAGCTCATCCTCTGACTCCTCAAAGTTCCTAATGAGAAAGAGTGGAAAAAATGAACACTTAATGACATGTAAGAGTTTAAAAAACAAACACACATTGACCAAAATGTTTGATGTAATTAAGTAAGATTTGTGATGTTGCAGAATTCTGGGTGTGTGTACACTGCTGAGTAAAGACGGGTAGAGGCTTTTCGACTCGCTGCGCATTGTGGCTCAACCTCTGTGTAGAAATGTGACTAAATATAAGAAGCATTGCAAAAATCATTGCTCAATGTAAAAAGTAACTTTGTTGTCTATAATACATTCATATCTTATATATCTGGTATTGTTCTATTCCCCCCTCTGAAATTCAGAGACATGTAAAGCTCCGCGCTGTTACATGACGAGCAACACTGACGAGCAATTTTTGGTGCATTTTTTCACTAAATTCTTCTGGAATTTGACTAATGTGTCCAAAGTTATAGTTGACAATCTGATTCTCTTTCATTTAATCCTCTAATTCAGGGGTCCCCAATCCCAGTCCACGAGGGCCGGTGTCCCTGCAGGTTTTAGATCTCAGCCTGGGTCAACACACCTGAATCACATGATTAGTTCATTACCAGGCCTCTGGAGAACTTCAAGACATGTTGAGAAGGTAATTTATCCATTTAAATCAGCTGTGATGGATCAAGGACACATCTAAAACCTGCAGGACACCGGCCCTCGTGGACTGGGATTGGGGACCCCTGCTCTAATTTCTGTACAATACTGTAATAAACTGATATCTGATAACTGTAACTCCATCTGGTTCAGCTCACTGTGGCAGCATGGAGTAAAAATACGCAGTATATTTAGAATGTGAACAGAAGGAAGTGTTGACTTACGTGTCATCATCATCTGACCTCGGCTCCAGACGCTCTTCATCCATCTCCACATCAGACTCCTCCTCTCCTTCACCATCCCTTTCCTCCTCTTTGTCCGGGTTAATTTCCTCCTCTGTTCCGTCCTGCTGTGTCTCTAAATCTTTTTCACATTAAAGACATTCCAGGACCACTGAGAACAGCACATTTACCCTTTACACTGCTGGTTTCAACACCCATCAGATGTGAGTGTGTGATGTCTCACCTGTGGCCACTGAATCTAGAGTTGATGATGTGAGCTCAGCCTGAGCCAGAGCTCTCAGCAGGGTGTTAGGGGGCTCGTCAATCCACTGCCTACGACCTGCCACTTCCTCACCTTGTCCAATAGATCGACATTATTCAGAGAAGCAAAAACCGACTAATTGTAATAAACATTTTGAGCATCACCACCCAGCTGTTCTGTGGGTATGCTGCACCTTGTCCAGCCTCGACCGCCGTGTTGTAGACTGAGTTGATGTCCATGTTGCCGAGCGCGTTCAGCAAAGTCTGAGGAGTCCTGTTGCTCCACCCCCTCCTCCCCTGTAGCCAATCCTTGAGCTTCAGCTGTGCTCCTTCCTGGAAGGACAGAGTTCGATTCAGTGGATCCACTTCCTGCATGGAAAAGGAACGTAAGAGTGAGAAGAAGATTGGCAGTTAGAAAGATACTAAAGACTATATTTATTATATTTATATTTATTTAATTAATTAATTTCACCTTTTCTTTAATTTGGCTTTGATTGATATCTTGTGTAATTTTATTATATAGTTCCTATGTACAGCACTTTGTGTCAGCTGTGGTTGTTTTAGAGTGCTTTATAAATAAAGGTGATGATGATGATGATGATTATGATGATGATGATGATGATATCTTCTGTCTCTCACCTGGTCATCCTGTTTTCTTCCTTCCTCTTCTTTCTCCTCCTCCTCGTCTTCCCTTAGCTTTTCATTATCTAATCGGATCTCAAACATGATTCCCCTCTGTAGACGTCACAAACCCCCAAAAAGAGCAAAAGATACAGTAGTCTTCAGTGCTTCAGATGTGTCAACAACTTAAATGCCACTGTTGAATCTGGAAAGGTCTTCAATATTCAAAAAGTTTGAATGCAGGTATACAAGTAGAATTACTGGACTAAACCTCTGCAGAATTGTTTTTGTTGGTATAAACTCACTTTGTCTTTGTGTTTTCTCTCCAAAGCTCTCATCTGGTCTCTGTTCTCCTCTCTGATCTGCCTCAGAGCTGCTTCAACATCCTGCAGAAACCAGACACAGAGAAAACTACAGTTATCATGAATTCTTCTGTAGAATGAATATTGTATCCCTAAATATGTGTGCAAACACTACAGTGATTGCTTTAAAAATAAAGCAGAATATACTGTCAGAGTATGGTTATAGGGTTGTAATAGTTCATGAAGATAATACAGGTATATGCCATGCACAGGGTGTGATTTGCAAGGAGAATGGACCTTTAATCGATCTACAGTACAAACAACACTTTGTGCACTGGCAATGCTTTGATAGTTGAAATGATATTGCATAGACGTGAACAATCTGGATTCTGTTCTGTTCCAACTTGTTGTTTCAGAGTCAAAACTATTACATTATTAATGTAAAAAATAAAATAAAAAGATTTAGAGTGTCACATTTTACAGGACATTCAATACAAATATTTACAGTGGGTGTCCAACGCATGCCTGGTCATCTACATCAGCATTCCCTAAAAAGGTGAGATCTATAGTCTCGTATTTCATTCCATTGTATTCATTCAGTTATGCACGGTGTCTGTTGTCTCACATCCTGCAGTTACAAAGCCTTGATGTGAAGAAAGGCTACAGTTTGTTAGTTTGGCAGCTGATGGCGACGCTGCTGCAATGGGCTGTTAGAGAGGAACGGTCAGTGGAAAGACCAACCCTAACTTGACCATCATACACTGCATTCACAAGTTAGAGCCTGCAGTCCATGATGGTGCAGAACATGTTACAGAGATATTTTCACATATTTATGAAGTGTTTGTTGCTGGTCTGAATAAATATAAAGCCTTGCCCCTTTTCCTCTCTGGAGGTTTGCATATACAGTGGGGCAAAAAAGTATTTAGTCAGCCACCGATTGTGCAAGTTCCCCCACTTAAAATGATGACAGAGGTCAGTAATTTGCACCAGA